TTCCTCAAAGTATGTTAGGCTGTTTAGAAAGCAAATACAATGATAAGTTGTTGTTATCAGAGTTTTACCCTGCTGAAGTGTCAAAGTTTCCCTCTGGAAGTATTTGCCAGAAGTGATTTGTCTGTTGATCACAAAAGGGTATGAAAAGTACAAGAACATTCCTTTTCCTTCCTATTCTTAAAGACAACCTAAATTACTTGAACAGACACTGTCTCAAACATGGTGATTTTTCCAATATTAAGTATCAGGAACTGCAGGAAACCCAAGACTAGCTTCAGAGCAACTAGAAAAAAGGAGAAAATTACTTTATATTTGCTTTTCAGTAACAATTTCCTTCTTTGAAGAAAAAAAAACCTCTTCCAACCTAAAGCATGTATATGCACTTAACAGAAACAGTTCTGCAATTCTGTAAATCTATTTGAAGTGATAGAATTTATCCTAGTCAAGAACTTGAATATTGAATTCCAACAAGTCCAAATAATGCTTTTTGGTTCACTTTTGAAATGAAAGTCTTATGACTGTCAGAAGCAAGTTGAACCATTTTCTCCTTTCAACATATAGCCAAAGACTCCATCATTTTATCACTCAGAGTGCTTACGATCGGAAAAGGAAGGCAAGTTTGTAAGGTCTGCATTAATATAAGCACTCCAGTGACCTCTCATACCCTGTGGCACAGTGAGAACTCAATTTTCCATTAATAAACCCTAACACCAAACTGTTAGAAACTCAAAAGACACCAAGTATTACAACTTATATAAATTACAGCCGAGATGAAATGGCCCGTACAAGCAATTGTACAGTGATAAAGCCTAAGTGGATGATATTTAAACAGATATTTGATTTACTGCAGGATTTTATATCATGCTAGAATTCAAATGACAATTTACAAGTCCAGAGGAAAGAAATCCCTGTCCCATACAAACTACTGTTTGCAGCACTGTTTCACAAGAGCTCCATATTGTTACTTTAAAGAATAAATTCTTCCCTCTGATAGTCTCAGGACACAGTCTTAGAAGCCAAACTGCAAAACCTGACATTTCAAAAGAGAACGAACAACCTACTTCTTCATCCCCACGTAGGAAATAACATCCTCAGTCTTCTGTGAGTTAAGTCTCATGAACGTAATTTTTGCAGTACAGCTCCCTGCCATTTCTTCCATCAGAAAAAAAAGCTCTGATGCTGAGGTTTGAAGACCTGTCTACCAAGTTCAGATTGTGAAGACTGTGGAACCCACAGCACCATCTCTTATTAGCAGCAGCAACACCACTAGTTAGCATTCATCTCTTTCCTGTCGGAAAAAATTGCATTGTGTACTCGTTCGAGATGCCTCATAGCAGTATTTCCTCAATTCCTCAAAGCAGTCTTGCTTTTCCTAGCTAAGAAAATTTGCAGAACAGAAAGAATGTATGAAATAAAACAAGAGATGAATTTGCAGAGGGGGAATCATGTAGGTGCACATTCTTGAACCAAACTTCAGCACCCAAAGACGTTACAAATGGCTTCCCTGAGACCAGACAACCCTCTTACTCCCCAGCAGTGAGCAACTACAGAAAATTCTGGGTGAAAAAAAAAAAAATCCATCAAGAGAAAGATTTATCAAAGGAAAGAAAATCGCAGGCTTCCAATGCAATCCAGGAAAACCTCTTGGCCAATAGTTGCAGCAGCAGTAATTGTTCTAAATCTATCAATAAAGCTAAGCTGCTCCTTCATTGACTGCAAACACCAATTTCTTTCATGGAGGATTATAAGTTGATGCTCATGGTCTCTCTACCGCCATTAGGGTGATAAACAGTTTAAACTACATCAGGATCTGACATGTAGATCAATTCTGGGTCCATAAAGAATCTACACAAGAGGTTCCCGGACAGGGATTTACTGCCCCCAGTTTTTATTCTCTCTCGCTGCTAAAATTACTTCTGTCAAGTACTTACAAGAGTAAGAAAAAAATGTAAAAAGAATTAATTTTTCATGTGCTGCTGGAACAGTCTTTTTAAATTTCTCAGTTTTTAAGGCAAATATGTTACTGCATTTAAAATTATGCTGAACAGCAGGTGGTATTTAGCTAAATAGTGAGCCAGTCGCACGATCCGCTCACTATCAAGCAGACAGCAATTTGAAACACTGAACTAAGCTGTCTAGATTTTCTCTGAGGGCAGTCACAGGCTTCATGTTACCAGTGCCAAATTATATTAGACATTTAATTTTAAACCTCAGGTACTTAAATGTAAAACCTTACAACAGTAATAGTCATAAAGCAGTGGGGCATTCCATTTCAGAGAATGGATTTTTCTATTTTTCCCCTTTAATTTAACCAGCACCTCCTGTTTTGTGGCTCTGCCCACTACAAAGTAATTTATCTAATTAGGAGATGTTCACAGCTGCTTGAAAGACAGAAGCCCCAGGAAACCAAAGGTCTGGTTCGGAAGACTTTGAAAAGTTCTTCGAAGCCACACAAAGTATTAATTTAATGTGGAAAAAAAAGGTGCAGAGAAAAATTGAATCCCAATATGTTATTTTGTCTACAATAAAACCATGTGACAATAAGCAGGCATATTCTCCAGTACATTGGCATTTGAATTCCAAAAGATGCTTAGCTTCTCGCCGTACCTGCTGCTTTCACAGTATTATCTTTTTATGACTAAAATTCAAAATCTTCTAATGGAGGAAAAAACCCCCTGAAATTAAAAAGGGTTTTTCATGCATCAACTTGCCAACATAAAGGACACATCTATGAGCTTACTGAAAGATGAAACACTGACAGCAGTGAATTATTCTTGTAGCAGTTTTATCACAATACTTCTGTTTTTGCTGACCTTTAGTTGCCTAAAACTCACTGCTAGTCCAATTTATCATACATATTTATGAAAAAACTTTTTTTTTTAAACAGGAACCTTTGCAAGAAATTATTCAAATCAGGCTTATTCATAAGTACCCACCAGTCATCTGCATTTTAAAAATAGATATTTCATAGATAATTCTAGCTGTCGTCTCTTTTGATCCAGAAGTAATCACATATGAACGTCAAGTCAGGAAAAGGTACCGCACATACTTGGGAGCACAGAGCTTGTGTATGAGAAACGGTTCCCATCACCAAGAATTTAAAACCAGCTGAAGAGCAGCACCAGGAGCAAAAGACAAGTCCAGCAAAATATCTCAAAACCAGAAAGAGCCACACGACGTAAAGGGGAAGGGAAAAGCTAGGAACTTAGGTTATATTTCTACTTTTCAACAAAATAACGACACGTCATTCTTAGGAACTCACTGAATTCTGCATTTTGAAGATTTTTGTCTACCACAGCCTCAGCTGTTGCATCTGGCACTGAGGAGCACGGGGACAGAATTTGCTCACCTATCCGTAGGACGTGGAGGTGCCAAGGACCGCAGACTATATCCTGTCTTTCACTTGCCTTCCTTCTAGTGCAAACACACAATATTCTCCAACTTTTCTTTGAAAAGCTACAGCATAAAAGAAGGGTGCAAAAAGCCAAAACTTTGGTATAACCTTTTAAAAGGGAAGCAGAATTGGGGTGGATTCAAATGATGAAGCAGCTCAGGAAAAAGAGAGAAAAATATATAGCTTTAACTGTGAAACCCATTTAGTCTAAAGGAATCCGTGAAGGGAAATGTTGGCTGCCCTGAAAGACCAACCATTGTCCAAAAGAAGGGGTGAGCTGGGTGGACACAGAAGAGAACAGTGCTGAACCACTTTATCATACTGCTTAGCAGGATCTCTGACCATCACAGAGGCTGAAATAAAGGGTGCTGGCTTTAGAAAAGTCTTGGTCAAAATCTGTACAGTTTTAATGCAAATATCACGCTCCTGAAAATACTGCCCACAAGCTTAGAGCTCCAGAAACACATGTGCTTTGGCAACTATGAACTAGAGAGCTAATTCCACTCAGGGCCAGGGTGACTGTGATTTTAAACCCTCCATACTCATAAGGTGGCACTGAAAAGCTGTCCAAAGCTGCCTAAAAACCCAGAGACAGTATCAGGGCTATTACTCAGATTCAAACTTTATAAAGATATATACATATATATATAGAGAGAGAGAGCCACACAGACACATATATATACATGGGACATGTGAAATAGTTTTCATACTCTATAAACCTTACTGGTTTAGAGGCAGCCACCAAAACCAGCTTTTTCTTCCCCCCTTCTTCTGTCTAATTCACATTTCTCCCCATTATCCATATGCTCAGTTCCTTCTTCTTTCACACACTCATCTCCTTTTCCCCGCTGTTCCACACACCTCGGTTTCTCCAGCCATCCATCAAATTCCATGCTCTTGGACATGCGTGTTTCACTGGTATGAACCACCTCCACAGCGCAGCACAACAGAAACACCCGAGTCCCAGCCCACCCACCACGGCTGCTCCAGGGATGCTCTCGTTTGCGTCAGCAGCCGGTCAGCTCTAAGTGATGGGCATCGTATCTCTTGTCTTGTGCAGGCACCCCACCGAGGCTTGATGCACCATTTTGTTACTAAATATCATGTATACCCCTTCAAAACAACAACCCCTGTCTCACAGTTACAATCTAATCACTGCAAAACACCATCTGGAATAGTGTTTGCTCCTTTTAGTACTGTCAAATGCTCCACAGAGGAAACGCTACGACCATGCCAGTAGTGTGCACACATTAAAGCAAGAGCACAGCTGAGAAAGGACACGCCGATGAAAAGATCTGGAGGGTAATTTACTCCTAATATCCAACACATGGAGTAAAGAAATAAGAATATCAAGTGAGAAACCTACGTTACGTACCTGAAATTAAAATTAAGCAATATTGTTTTTTCCTGCTGAAAAAGTGCGGCATTGATCTCTATCTAATTTCTCCTTTTTCTCTCAGATGACAGAAGTCTGGCTTCCAACATGGCATCTGGGCGGATGCCATCGGGTTGTATTTTATTTTATTTTTATTTTTAAAAAAGCAAACCACCAAATTCCCCCTTTCACCCCAAAGCAGATAACCCACCCCAGCTCCAGGTTTCTTACCACTGCTAATGCCAGAGTTTGCAATGACTGTTGCCTCACTCCACTGATCTGCACTGGAGACCGAGTAAGAGCGCTGATGCATACCGTCCGGGCGGCTGTTGAAGGAGACTAGACTGATCCCACTTGCCATCTGAGACACAGATGTGCTAGTAGTCACGTTCCCTAGACATAAATGGAAAACAAATCGTGTCAATAGAGAAGACAAAATTGGTTTGCATCGAGACGGATGGGTGCATCTTAACAGAGCAGAAAACGGGATTACTTAACCAACACAAAAACCAACGTGGTCCTCCCTAAAACTCCGAAGACAACTGGTCTGTGACCAGCTTGGGGCACCACAGATTTCAGCAGCCCACTCAAATCCAGCTAGGAACTTCTGACAAAAGAGCCTGAATTTTTAAGATTTCACTGCATTCATTCCTTTTCTGGAAAACACAACCTTCTACAATCGTGCTACCAGTCACACTTTGTATAGGTTCTCCACTTGTTTCAGGTCATGAAAGACAGACTGTGCCGGGAAAATAAATTTTTTCCTGAAAACCACTGTTTACACAAGCAACTGAGAGGAGACAACTAAGCCAACTCAAAGAGTTTCAAACAATCTACCTCTAAGTAATATTCCACACAAGCACATCCCTCAGATGAAGCCAAGAACACACTAACGGGGAGCCGATAACTACTCGCATTGTGAGACCAAGCAAAACCAACTTTCTCAGATTTTTAATTTTAAAACAGTATCATGACATAAAGGCACACGGTAAGAGGCAATGACTGCAAAAATTATTCCCATGTCTCATCCTGCAGCAATATGCCCATCACAATTCTGACTGAACACCTACTACTCAAAAGGCGAGATACAAAGAATAGCCTTATCCAATAAGTATGAGAAAAAAACTTAGTATTTTCATAATCAGTGAGGTCTACGACAATAAAACGCTGAAAGGTGTGCATGAAGGGGAGCAACAGGGACAGGTTTCTCACCATAGAACAGGAGAAGTGTGATCTGGTTGAATAAATTTCAGAGTTGAAACAATTAAAACCTTTCCAGAAACTCAGATTTTTGATGGTCTTACTCACAACTTGGTACAGGCCAAAGTCTGCACTGCAGTTTTGGTTTCTGAGCACGTTTTACTCCATTTATAGCACAGGACTTGCATACAACAACAATACAAAGATTTTATTATGCTAGTTTCATTCCTTGTGGCAGGCTCTCAAAAGGTACCTCACAGGTCTTCTATGGATTTAAGAACGCTCTTTAAAAAACATATGCAAAGGGAAAGAAACAGATACAATTTTATAAAATACCCTAACACTTTGCATTTCCATTGCACCTTCTACTGATGAGTTCAGAAAAATTAATGAATTAATTTTCAATGCTCCTGTGAGGTTGTTAATTATCTGCTATCATTTCCCCCATTTTTCAGAGGTTAAATGACCCAGGGCCACAAAGGAAGATTGTGCCAGACTTGAAAATAAAACCCAGATCTCCTGACTCCCAGTTCTATCATTATGTCTTTTCCCAGAGCAGCTTTTGGGAAGACAGCAGAGCTTAGTGAACTACTTTGTGTTTATTAGAGTTGGCATAATTGTCCCTTTCTCTCCTCCCCTTTCCCAAGACTAAATCTCACCTTAACACAGATCCATCACTACAGTATCTGTCCACCTGAGTCTTGAATGTACTTACTCAGCCTCAAAAACTTCCATTTGGCAATCTCTAGTCTGTAGACACGAAATACGTACGGAAAAACTGATTCGTTCAATTATGGAAGGTCTAAGGTGGATTCTGGAACCATGGTGGGACCTCCCAAGGCAGTGCCTTAGATACTGGCATGTAATTCCTCTCTTATCACCTTCCCTGGGCAGTTCTTTTGTCCAAAAAGAATTCTATAATCAGAGCATCATCTGCCAAACTGCTGAAAAAATTTATGCCTCCAACAACCAGTCCTCTTCAGGACACTGCGTGCTTGAACCCATCAACTGAGAGCAACCTTCTAATGTTGGTATTTTAGCACCTTCTCAAGACATCTTCTAAAGAAACACTCAGCAAAGAAATCAGGTCTGTAGAAACGAAGGCACAAAACAGAGGATCAAATTATAGCTGAATATCTTAAAGTCGCAATAGAAAATGGAAACACCTGCTGACAGTACGTATGTTTTAAGGTCTCCCAAAAGAAATACCTCCTTCCAGTGAACTTTTTGAAGAGAAGCCTCCATTCACTTTCTAACTGTGATGCAAAAGCAAAACCTTAAAAAGATAGCATTAAGACTTTTACATCATCACGTCAGTACCAAAAGCTTTACTTTCATCTTAATGCCATCTTATGAAATGCCACACCCCACGTTATGACATTAACCTGTTGAGGAAGTGACTTATTGTTCAAACCAAGCAGGAATTTTTCCTTCACTTAACATTTCTGAAAGGTATGGGCTGCTAGCAAAAACAGGTGCCAAGCTCCATCATGTAATACTTCAGTGAGCAGTGATGCAACCCGACTCAGCTCGGTTTTTTCTACTGCCATAGTCTGATAACCCTGCTACCTGCAACCAGTGCAGTAACATTTATACAAGGGTAAATTCCACTTTGTTCGTGTGCTGTAAGGTTTTCGAGATATATCAGACTATGCGAGCCAGAATCCAAGGGTAAGTATCGGAAGGGCTGTACTACAGAAAACTGGGTGTGCCCTTGCCTCTCCCTTTCGCAAATGCTTTCAGCTCTAGCACAAACCTGCTACTTATAATCTTATTTAAAAATCATTATTTCCCAATTTATTGCTATTTTTTCCACTTCTCAGGCTAATTGCAGCATGCCCAGGACACGAATTCCACCACCCCAGTAGGCACTAATGCTGTCACACCAAAACAAGGACTACTGGAAGTCAACTGCTGTTCTTGAACACTTTGTGAGCTGCACAAAGCTTCTACAAATCAGTCCTATGGTTTTCCTCGTGTACAATGCACAAGCCCCAGTCCAGATCTCCACAAAGCAACTGCCCTTTATTTTCGCTCAAGGATAAAGCCTCAACAGCAGAAATCACCTCAGTCTCTCAGCAGACGAGACAGTTAAAAAGAGAAGGGCAGCAATACTCGTGCACACGAAGCCTTTACATCAAGCTCTTGCAAGCAATGCCTTGATGAATTCTGTGTCTGTTGTCCCCTCAACCTGCGCCGTGTACGCCCACACCTATACACACCTGCCCACATGAGACACACAGATACCTATCTTGACATTAACATGAAACCCACGGCCAACTACCTGGCCATTTCTGGAGATGTGAAAGAGCACCTCTTCAAATACATCATATACGCATCAGCTGGTCACTTAAGTTGATTAGCAGGGGGCAGTTAAATTACCATGCTAATCCATGTATTCTCAGCACTGTTTCCTTGATATGGATATGTGTATATGCTTACAGGGAAGCCCTGATTAGTTCAAGCTTCAATGTGTCAAAGGCTCCAGATTCTTGCCAAAGAATAATTTGAGCTGTACTCACATCCCTAAAGTGTGAGAGCTGATTTGAAAAGGTACTTACCTCTACCATATGCTATTTTTCTTTAAACAATTTGCATTTCAAAGTGAAGATGGCATTTATATTTGAATGACTATCAGTATGTTGCCAGAACTGGTCTCAAACGAGCAAAAAAAAAAAGATGCTGGTCTCCTATTGAACAAAAATGTTTTCATCTACCAAAGGAGCATCAAAGGAAGAGTTCCTCTTTCTAGCTCCAGACAGCTTTATTAAAACTGTCTTTTCTGATATTATAAAATACTCTGTTATGATCACACTTAGAAAATGTTCAAACAATTAAGCTCTACAAAACCCATCCAAATTAACATTCAAGGTAATTTTCAGGTTTGGTCAACGCTCAGCAGAAGAGCCTCTGAGGAAAGTGACTGTGCTCACACAAAGCCCAATTTATATATCCATCTACTCAGTGTAAATAGCCACCAAGATGAAATAAAGATGAGAGACCCGGTGTAAGAGGAATTAAGCAGAGGCGTGCACGCCTGTGTGTACGTACGCACACACGTATTAAGAGGCCAATGGAAACGCACACAGTGGGGGCAGAATGTGGCTCAATACGCTGTGCACGGAGGGGACTTGTTTCGGCTCTTCCTACAGTTTCAGGTTTCCAAAACAAGAGACCATCAGTGCAACATCAGATTACAACACTGAGGAATATTATGAAAATTACAAAGATTTTTACAAACACAGGACTGCAGAAGATGCCACATGCACATCTAGCCAGTAAAGCCCTCCAAAGATAAAAACCCTGCATATTATAAAAATTTTAATAAACACGCAATGAAGTTTGACATAAACGTTATCTTGCATATTTGCAGTAACCTGCCCAATCGAGAAAAAAGCATTCAGGGTTTTTGTTCTGTTGCTCTTGTAACAGAATAGTATGGTGGACAACATTTTACCAATTTCTTTTTTGCTGTATTTTAACTTAACACAAATAATATTGTGAATCGTAACCGGGCAGCACAGGTTATTTGAATAGAAACATCACTTAAACCTAAGCCTTCATCAGCGATGCCACCCACTAATTACAAATGCAGAATGAACACAATACACAACTATACCTGAAAAAGTGGGATACAAGTGACTTAAATACATGAAGGTGGTCTCCATTTCCTGCTGCAGACACACTTGTGATCTCTCCCAAACAAATCACTTAGTACAAGAAGTTACATTCAGGAGTGCGACTAATACGCTCTTGAATTTATGAGACAAGCAGATATTCCGAGAGTCGTGAAGCAGAACTATATTTTTCCATGCGTATGAGACTCGCCGAGAGCGGCAGCACAGGAAGACTGAATGAGATGAACTACAGCCTACTGCTATGATTTCACCATGGCCATGTTTTATTTGTGTTATGCTCTTCATGTTCACGACGAGTTTCTCTTCCAAAAAAAGAAATAAACCTCTTAAGGCCAGAGGGCTACGCACACCAGCTGTTAGAACTAATGAAAAATACATTAGAGCTGTGGGTCAGGAAATCCTGACTCTTGATATCAGAGGGTTAATTGTTTCAAATCATGTTGGGTCAATTTATGTTGCAGGAATACTGTCTATTTTTGAAACGTCCTCTAATTCAGTAAAAGGCACTGTCAAGTAGATTAGACTGGCTGTTGGTCACACTCTCAAAACCCATAC